ATTCTGCTTAAAAAGATGCAATCTAATCCTGTTTACATGAAATAAGCCTGCTCCCGAGCAGGTTTAAGTTTACGGACCTGTTGCTATGACAGCAACTCCGGGATGAGCTTCGAAGAACCAAACAATCCAAGATCAAGTGAAATCGTCAACAATCAAATCCAGCTAACTGAGTTAGCGACGTACGAAGAATGGGCCCCTGGGCTGGGCTTGCTTATTTTTTATTTTTAATAACAAAAAAAAAACACACAAGTTAGGGCCCTATCTAGTGTATCACGATTTCCACAATATTATTAAGCGGCAAAAACTCAACATTAAGAAATGTTTCAAGAGCACCAAATCAGCATGAAATAAATTACATTCACAAACTTCTTAAATTGTAATAATATTTCACAATATTACAAATTTACTGTGTTTTCATCAAATATATGTTTTTTCCCCTCAGGCATGCCCAGCGTTCTAGACTGGACAGATGATGATTTCTCCATGTGCTTTGGCGTGAACCACCTTGGCCACTTCTTACTGACGAACCTTCTTCTCCCGCGACTGAAAGAGAGCTCACCGAGCAGAGTGATCACCCTCACCTGCTCCAGCTACAAGTACCAGAAGCTGGACTTCCAAGATCTCAACTACAACCTGTTCCCGTTCTTCACCTACTGCCGCAGCAAGCTGGCCAACATTTACTTCACACAGGAGCTCGCTCACATGATGGAGGGGAAAGGAGTGACTGCGTATGCCGTTCACCCTGGTGAGATCTAAAATATAGCCTGACTTTCTCTACAACTGCAGAAAAGGTTGCTATGTGGTTGCTAGGGTGTTCCTGGTGTCCCTAAGTGTGAGCAGTAATAATAGTGATCTTCACCTTATCTGAAGGTGATTATTGTTAAGTTCATCTTGTATCTTTTGTCTCATTCAGGTTACGTTCAGAGTAACTGGACCTGTCATTACTCAGTTCTGTTCCGGATCCTGGTGCAGGTGGTGATGTTCATGTTTTTTGTTTCGTGTGAGGCTGGGGCGCAGACGGTGGTCTACTGCGCTGTATCAGACGAGGTGCTGCCGCACAACGGAGGATACTTCACTGACTGTCGGCCGGCTCATCTAAGAGCCTTCGCTAGAGATTCTGGAGTAGCAAAAAAACTTTGGGAGGCCAGTGAGAGACTAGTTAAACTGGCCTGATAACAGTATACACTGCTTTTTGTTTGCATGTTTGAGAAGCAGACTGATTCTTATGCTGCTTATGGAAAACCATGTTAGTTTTTGGTTTGTATGAATGTGATTTTTATGGCACTGTTTAGAGTTTTGACGTTGTGTGCGCTGTTTTTTTACAGTGTAATTTATTTGATGATGATTGATGTGGTGTTTGACATGCAGTATTGAATTGCCCATGTATTCATTAAACACTTTAATTAGTGAAGAATGTAAATAGGTCTCTACAAATTCCATTTAAGAAGATGGAGGGTGCACATTTAGAAATGCAAACAAATCAAAGCACGAAAGCGCACAAATCTAGCAGAATTACAAAGGTTGCATTAATGCATTTGGCATATGCTTTTATCCAAAGCAATTTACATTTCCTTTTGCATTCATACATTTGATCACTCCATGTCAAAGGTGACATTTTTAAACTTTAAAAAAGTAATTAAAAAAAAAAAAAGGTTAATTTTTCCCCACGGTAGAATTTTTAATTAAAATGCATTTTAAATGCTAATGGAAAATAAAGATAAAAAAGTGGTTGAAAAAGCTATTCCCATTTGCATTACAGCTTACTGAGTAGTGTAAAATGTCTCCTTCAAAACCCTCAATATTAAATATTACGTGATTTAAAGATTGTACTTATGTCCATAACCTATTTCCATAACCTGGCAGGCCTGGAAATGACCGTTTTAAAAATCCCTAAAATAGAATGCAACAGTCAGGTTAAGGAAGTAAAAATCCCATTCATTTTCTCCATAGTGGAATTGATTTTTAATGTGTTGAAATAGACCAACTGGGAGCTATGAGGCCTGCATTATTTCAAGTAAAAACCCTTTAAAAACATATTGCTTGTCAATTTTGAATACATGCACATGATTCTTCAGTATTTAAATCATTTATTTATATATTTTGAACACATTTGCTTAAGTCAGGGAATACACAGAGCATGTTTGAGAACAGAGCAATAACAAGAGTAAGAATCCTCAGAAATCAAAGAGAATATTATTATATATAGAAAAACAAAACTAACAGAGGGCTACTGTGAGAAAACTCAACTTCAGAGAAACTATCCGGTACGGTTTCCAATCAGAGAAGTGATATGACGAGTCGAACGGAAACAGTCCTGTGCTTAAAGATGGACAATGTTGTCGGTACAGGTAAAAATATTCTGGATCTCCGCTATCTACTGAGCTGTAATTGTTAAGTTAGTCATAAAAGACTGATAAAAGTCAGAAACAATCCATGATTTTATTGGCCATTCAGGTTTGGTGAATATCCGCAAAGCACAAACAGCAGATCTATATCACTGCTGATACAAATTTAGCTTTAAGTGATTTCGAAAAAACCCATGCATATTTAGCTAATATTGCAAGTGCTTCTCTGAAGTTAAGCAGTCTCATACTAATGAGAAATCTTATAGTCGTTAATATAAATATCAGTCACCCTGCACTGACAACAATGAGCTTATACAAAAGCATGCCGTAGAAATATCACCATTTCCATAATCACCGACATTTCGTAGCAATAGTCTTCGTCATTTACACAGCCATTGTCAGCATAATTTTGGGACAAAAATATTATATATATATATGCACTTAACAAAGCTGGTAAAACAGATAAGAGAAAGGTTTAGGTAAACCAGCATTCAATAGAAAAAATTAAATCAAAGATAACACCAAACCTAGTGTTCAAGTGACTATCATGCAAAGAAATTCCAGCTGAAATGCAGTAAACTGCAGTTTCAATACTGTGTGTCCTGTTTTAATACTGATGTGCACTTTCACTCTTCAACATGTTTATTTTCGTTGCTAAACACACCGAGAACAGTACACTTTTTACATGCTGTTTTGCTTTGTTTTTTTTTGTGATTTTCTTTTAGGGAGCAGACAGGTGTGGAACTCTGATCACTCGTATAAACACAGGTGAAGTTTTGCATGAGATAAAGCATTGAAGAATGAGACACAACTATAACAGAAGCAGAACACCGGAGCACAAACGAGTACACGTGCCTCGCGGGGTCGCTTTGTTTGAGAGAAATATTTTGATTGGATTTTAAAAGATTGCCTCTTTTTTTATCTGTGTGAGAGACAATTTCTTTCAAATAATAACAACAAAAAAAGATCAGTAGTCATCATCGATATGACGTGGCTCAAAGCTAGTGAGTTCAAACATTAGACAAAGTGTCGTACACAAACGTAAGAAGCATGTAAGAAGTTGCGATAATAATATCAAATAAATAAATACAACCTGAGGACACAAGGTCAATAAAATAGTCACATGACCGGGTGATGATGTCACACTGACGCGTCAGTTCACCACGGTTCAAACCCTTTAGAAGTAGAGTGAAACCAGTATAAAGTTGTACGAGGCGTGACATGCACTCCATAAACTATATCTTACCATCTTCTGACATATAAAACTATTGCTGCCGATTTCGACTACGAACCTCTTCATTCTTCGAAAGACTTTCACACTCCTTGCACTTTGCCCATCCAAAGGGTAAACACACTTTAAAAAGGATCCAGGGTGACAACATTTTCACTCTCCTTAAAAGTCTCACACACCGACGACAAACAAAATATATATAAACTCTCAAAAATAGAATGAGTAATATTGATAAGTCAACGCTATATGTCACGAAAAATATAAATGTCAACATATAAGAGCAAAAAAACGCTAAAAAGCAAAAATATGTAACTCCGTCAGCTAAAAACCCACCAAAATTCCTTCAATCAGCTGCTCTCTAATGGCCTCCAAGGACTTTAAACCTCCACTATGACTAGTGTTGAGATACAATAGTTGTTTTTTTGAGAACAATCTCCTCTAATGATGTCATTGGATGTCCACATCTTTCCATAGTCCGAGAAGACACATGAATGAGGAGGTCATCATCTGGTATGCCTACTGTATGTTCAGCTGAGGTATGGCTTTTAGTTTGATTCAGTCGGTCCAACCTAACACGCTGGCTCAGCTGAAGAAGAAACGAAAAAAATTCAAAACATCGCAACACTAACACTAAAATATAATACTAACGTTGCAACAGGTTACATATAAAGCACAATTGTGGCTTTCCAGAACAAGGGATTGTTCATCCAATATGAAGTTCGCCAACTGACAGCAAATCTGCTGAATTATTCCAAATTTGAGCTAACGATGCGAGAAATAACGACTAAAGCTGGAAGACCCCGAACGTCACGTCGTTCTTTATCAGGCTCTGGTAGAATCTGCCCCAAAACAGTCACACATACCAACAAATGTCCACTAACGTTTGAACACACATGGACAGACGCTTCGGTTGGATATGAATCGCACTGAGAAGCCTGTACATAAACGGCGGCCATTTCCGTGGTGATATAGTGAAAAAATCATGCTCTCCAAAAATGTTCGGAAAAGAAAAGGCATAAATTACAAATCATTGGCATCCAGAACGTGAATTGTGTAAGTGACACATACAATTGCTTTTGCATTTAATACTAATAACAACAGTAAGAACAATATTAATAATAATAATAAGAAGAATAACAATAATATTGAAAATCTACACACTGTAAGTGAGGACGGCGAATCAGTGTAACATTACTCACACTGGGAAGGTGCGACAGAAAGCATGGCATTTCACAGACGACTCGCTGAGGCCTTATTATCCGTACTAATCAAAGACTGTCCAATTCCACACAGCACATGTGCACAACGAGGGGAGTCTCTGCACGGGTGTAAAGATACAGGGACGGTGTCTGGGAGGGAGGGGGTAAAGCTGAAGGTAAGACAGAAGACAACGCACAAAAGTGATTGGCAGGTGAGGGGGCCGGGCCCATTGTGGGAGGGTCAGGCACTGCAGACTCACAGCTACCCATCACTGGGCTTCGCTTTCCTTCCTCCCTCTCTCCAACTTCTCCCCTCCCTCACTCTCTCTCTTTTACTCTTGCACTCTCCATTTCTGGCTGGGCTCTCTTGTTAGATGTGGCTACAATGAGCTCAACCTGAGGAAAAATAAGGTTGTTAGCTGCGTGTCGTCACTTTGTACAACTACACAATCTGTTCAAGAGTGTGCAATGAGCAGACCAAGGCTACACTGAAGAAAAAAAAATAAAAAATTGGTGTAGAAACAAATTGCAGTCGAAAATTGCTATTAATTTCACAAATAATTACAAAGAAATACTGAATTAAACAGAACTTTTTGAAGTAGAAAGACTGAAATAGTATTTTCTAGAAAAACATACTCCAACAATACGTTTTATTTACAACTTCAAAAAAAAAAAAGTTTTTTTTATAGTGTAATTGTCACTAGGGCTATATATCAGTAACTGTGAAAAGACCAAAATGTGTTTTCTCTAACAGTGGTGAATTATATAATACCAGCATATTTTAAGGCAACTATATAATGAAGATGTTGCTAAATATTTTTGTGAAAACTGTGATACATTTTGTTCAGGATTCTTCAAATTCAAAAGAACATCTGACCGCAAACTTTTTAAACGGTAGTGTACAAAATTTGATTATTTTAAGGCACAAGGAGAATTTGTTAAAGACTTAAAGAGATAGTTCACCCAAAAATGAAAATTCTGTCATTAATAACTCACCCTCATGTCGTTCTAAACCCGTAAGACCTCCATTCATCTTCGGAAAACACAATTTAAGATATTTTTTGATGAATTCTGAGAGCTCTCTGACCCTCCCATAGACAGCAATGTAATTACCACGATCAACGTCCAGAAACGTAGCAAGGAGATCGGTAAAATAATCCATGTGACATCAGCGGTTCAACCATAATATTACGAAGCTACGAGAATACTTTTTGTACGCAAAGAAAACAAAAATAACGACTTTATTCAACAATTCGTCTCCTCCGCGTCACCCTAGCGCCATTTTGGAGAGTATCCACTGAAGGCAAACAGCGTATGCTATTCTGTGTCAGCCGCACCACACGGATACGTTGTTTTCATTCAAATCAAAGCGTAAACAACGTAGAAAACGTATCCGCGTGACGCATCTGACACAGAACAGCATACGCTGTTTGCCTTCAGTGGATACTCTCCAAAATGGCGCTAGGGTGGGGAGACGAATTGTTGAATAAAGTCGTTATTTTTGTTTTCTTTGCGTACAAAAAGTATTCTCGTAGCTTCGTAAAATTACGGTTGAACCCCTGATGTCACATGGATTATTTTACCGATCTCCTTGCTACGTTTCTGGACCTTGATCGTGGTAATTACATTGCTGTCTATGGAGGGTCAGAGAGCTCTAAGAATTAATCAAAAATATCTTAATTTGTGTTTCGAAGATGAACGGAGGTCTTACGGGTTTAGAACGACATGAGGGTGAGTTATTAATGACAGAATTTTCATTTTTGGGTGAACTAACCCTTTAAATAACATTAATCTGTCTATACGAGGATGTACCTTCACTGTAGAGGGGCGGCTGGAGCTCCCGAACAGTGGAAATGGACATTCTGCCATTTAGAGTCCCGGCGATGCCACACCCTCGTCTCTTCCGATTGGCTGCTGCGCGGCCGGCCCTGCCCATCCACATATTGCGTGAGGCGGATGTAGGCGATGCAGGCGGCCTCATCTCCAATCAGGTGCACGTGAGGGTTAAGGATGGTGGTGTGGATGGGCTTACTGTTCTTAGACAGCACTATGACAGAGTGAAAAACGGCCACACTTTAATGAACAGACGTCATGACCGACAGGGTAGAAGTGAAGAGTAATCCGACTCCGCTTACAGTTCTCAAAGTAAAATCTGTGGAAGTCCATCCCCTCCACCAGGTTTCCCAAGGCCTCAGGTTCAAAGCAGGTGAGTCCAGGGTCGCAGATTTTACTGGAAAGAATTAAAGCAATTGTTTCAGTGCCATCTCATTTACTGTCAATTGTGGGTAAAGTTAAAAATACACCTCACACACAAGTAACTTACGCATAGGCTTCAAAGTCGCCATTGTTGATGGCCTCAATAAGCTGTTCAGTGATTTTGATGATCTCCTGTTTGCGTGCTGTAGAAAGAGGAAGTCGGCGTTAACAGAAGCCAGCTTGTATTAGTATGCGCATGAAGGAGGAGCATTATGGGTAAGCAGTAATATCTTTTAAAACACCACAAAACATGTTTCACAGGTTCACTCTAATTTATTCAGCAGACTCATGTGTCTTTTTGCATCAGTACACAAGCCCCTGTGACAGACAGAAGCCCACACACACACACACAAACAAAAAAAACAGGTTGTCTGAACATCCACCCAAACAGATTTCAGCCACCTACACTACCGTACGTGCTCTCACACACAGCATTTCCTTTCCAGCTCTGTTAGTCACAGGACTCCAAATACCACAGCTCAAATAACTGAAGGTTAAAACACAACTCAATCTCTAGAGGCAACACAATTCAAAGATTCTCTGTAAGACCAGGTGGTCTAATCACAAGTAGTTTGTTTATATTATTTAAATATACTGTTTAATGATTATTTTTGTGTGAAAAAAAGCAACAAAAAAAAAAGACAAAATATGATACTTATGACAGAATGGTAAGAAATTTTCAAGAGAGTTTTAATGTGACATAACAATATCATAGATTTCTTATAATAATAATAATAAGTAATGCTTCTTGAGCAACAAATCAGCATATTAGAATGATTCCTGAAGGATTATTTGACACTGAAGACTGGAGTAATGACTGCTGAAAATTCAGCTTTGCCAATGCAGGAAAAATTACTTTTTTAAGAAAATACTATTTTAAAATATTCAAATAGAAGACTTTTTATAATTGTGATAATATTTACTGTATTTTTTGATCAAATAAATGCAGCCTTGGAAGCCATAAGAGACTTTTCAAAAACAAAAAAAATCTTACCAATCCCAAAAGTCTGAATAGTAGTGTGTATCTGTATATATATATTCTTTTCTATTAATGTCATTTTAATAAAAATCAACTCCGGGGATATCAACTTTTTAGTTTTTTTGTGCTGTATCAACCTGCAATAACACTTGTGAGAGACTCTCCTCTTCATAATACAAAAGTGGTCACAGATGAAGCATTTTGAGATGCATGTTACTCCCAGCCAGGTGTACACAGTGATGTGATTAAATCATTCGAGAAATCCACACTCTATGCATGTTAGTCCAGTAGCATCATTGCTGCTTTTTTACACTCCCAGGAAATCAAAAACTCATGCTGCTGTGCCAGTAATGCCAGCACAGACACAGACACTGACACCACATACTCACAATGTGCTGACAGCAGGGGGCTCGAGGACGGTTGGGCAGGGGAAGGGGAGGGGTGTGATGGGGCAGATACTGGGGCAGTAAGGGGTCTGCTGGCTGCTGATGGCTCACTGTCTGTATGAGGGGCTGTAGGTCTGCGCACACTGCTCACTAGATCAGTCAAACGTGACACTGGATGCATAATTGACGAAAGGCAGATGACAGAAGAAAAAAAAAAAGACTAATCACTAGCAGAAAACATGGTTAATCAAATATGCAGTGAGCGAAAAGTTTCTAATAAACATGGAACTTCTTCTGAATAACCTGTTTGCATACTGGTCCATCAGGGACTTACTCTGTGTGGGAATGTTAGGGGTCTGGGGAGTGGAGGGGGCAGAAACAACAGCTGGAGTGATAGTGCTCCCCCCCTCACCATCATATGTGGGCACCGAGCCCCGGCGAACCACACCCAATAGATCAGTGAACTTAGTGGCAGCTGTGGGCCCAGACAGGGCAGGACAGAAATAACAGAGTGGAGTTGAGCTTAGAAAAGGAGCAGAACAGTAATAGCAGTCCTGTGTGCAGTGGCACTAAAGGAACAGTTTACTCAAAAATGAAAATCTATTTCATCATTGTATACCCATACATTATTTCAAACATTCAATGGTTTTTGGGTATCTGAGCTGCAGTAGGAGTAAGATTTACTAGTAAATAATTTCAGTCTTTTCCACACAAAGCTACCATATGGCTAACATAAGAACATACTATAGCAAATGATTATATGGACTGCTAACAAATGTGACCCTGGACCACAAAACATAAGGGTACATTTTTTGAAATTGAGATTTATACATCATCTGAAAGCTTTCCTTTGACGTATGGTTTACATCAACTACAACATACAACTATTTGAATATCTGGAATCTGAGGATGCAAAAAAAATCAAAATACTGAGAAAATCGCCTTTAAAGTTGTCCAAATGAAGTTCTTAGCAATGCATATTACTAATCAAAAATTAAGTTTTAATATATTTACGGTAGGGAATTTACAAAATATTTTCATGGAACATGATCTTTACTTAATATCCTAATGATTTTTGGCATAAAAGAAAAATCGATAATTTTGACCCATACAATGTATTTTTGGCTATTGCTACAAATATACCCCAGCGACTTAAGACTGGTTTTGTGGTCCAGGGTCACAAATGATTATATAGACTTGTATGGTATTTTTTTAATAAATAAAATATACACTACCATTCAAAAGTTAGGGGTAGATTGGAATAAACTGTTTTTCTATTTTCTATTCATCAAAGAATTCTGAATAAGAAATAATAAGAAATGTTTCTTGAGCACCAATTCAGCATATCAGAATGATTTCTGCAGGATCATGTGACACTAAAGTAATGCTGAAAATACAGTTTTGCCATTACAGGGATAAATTACATTTTGAAATATATTCAAATAGAAAACAGTTATTTTAAATTGTAATATTGTTTCACAATATTACTTTTTTCTGTATTTTTGATCAAAGAAAAGCCTTAGTGGGCATGAAATACTTTAAAAACATCGAAGTGACCCCAAAATATTGAACGATAGTATACATATACACATGTATTTATAATATATAATTTCTTTTTCAAGGTACGTTTATACAACAACGATGCGCTAAAAATAGAAAAAAAATTTCCTTTGCGTTTTTTGTGTACAGACGACAACTTTGTCAAAACGATCCCTGGATCCACGAAAAAGACTTAAAACGCTGTCTTATGCACACCATGCCAGTAGTTGGCAATGTCACTTTTTAAAGGAACACTATTCGAACACGTAATACACATGCCCATGACATCACAAATTCGATAATGATATTCGAGACGATAATGGTATCGTTTTCAAAAACTTGCACTTTGAAACCTATTTTCAAAAGTTTGCATTTTCAGGCCCCCAAAACACCATTGTCTTGTAAATAAACAGCCAAAATGCATAAGTTTTCCATTTTTAGTTTAAAATGGAATTTTGTGTAAACACCCCCTTAATGTTTCACAGATGAAAAGAAATTCATACATGCTTGGAAGAACATGAAGGTAAGGTGAGTAAATGATGACAGAATTTTTTTTTTTTTTTTGAACTATCCCTCTAAATAAATCCAGAGAAACCACCAGAAATTGGTTAAACAATCAGGACACAGAAAACGGCAAGATTAGATTTGATTAAAAACCAAAGTATCCGTTTACTAATGAGAACACAAATTGTGCACATAATCTCCAGTAATGCCACTCATTTAATGGCACTACTTTACTAATTTTAGTGCTGATCTGTGTCACACACATGCAAAAGGGGATTATGGGAAGGTGGTGAGGTCATGGCAGTCAGAGGGCACTTACTGAAGAGAGCGGGGGAGGGGCCTGGAGGTGTGTGGGCGGAGTCAGGCTGGGTGCTGGGGTTTGACTGAGCTGAACTGTTATCTACAAGCTTTCCTGTGAGACGCCACCCAACATCACACAGAGAGAGATGGGACACAGAAAGCATACTGACATCAACAGGGTTTTTGCAGCCATTCTCAAGCCTAGAAAATGCCGGAGGAGCGAGATGCCTTCATGTAAAGTGTGGTGGTTCTAGCCAAGTGTTACTTCAGTATACATGACCAACGAATGAAATGAAAAAAAATCCTATTTTTAAATGAAAGATCCTTAATGGAATATGTCACCCAAAATAAAGCAATAAGCCGTGGTTTACAGTGAATTTATAACAGCTAAGGGGCGTTGGTAGGCACGACGCGAAGCGGAGTCTTGTTGACAACAAAGGTGTATGTTTGTAGAGTAATTTACAACAACTTCGAACGTGGCTCAGCCAATCAGAATCAAGGACCGGAACTATCCGCTTTGTACACAAAAATTCTATGCCAGTTGTGTAGGTCTAACTTCATGAAGTTACGAGAAACTTCAGAAATTTTCATTTTTGAATTAAGTGTTTCTTTAAAACAAGACAAGTATCTGAGAAGCAAAACTAGACTTGCTTTCAGAAAATGTATCTTGAATATAACTGTATTTTGTCTTGTTCCACTGGCAGATTTTTTCATTGGTTTTAAGCATAAACATCTCTGAATGTTTTAGTTCATAAGTTCTAACAGCTATTTTCTGCAGTGTTTGTATTACTACAAATAGGAATGAAGCAAGACAAAGACTGAGCAAAGATGACAACCATAACTTAATCAGTTTAGAGAATATAATGAAACGGAACACAAAAAGTTTTACTAAATCAAATCAACAAACTAGACTATTTAAACCATAAAAGGACCATTAAAAGGCATGCTAGCTGGTTGCAGAAATCAACCTGACTGTTTGAAAATACTAATTTACAGTCCTTACAAGCAGCCTCTATTCAAACAACTTATTCAAACAGAAGAGCTTTACATGCTAGCATAGATGTTATTAAGCTAACTTCTCACAGCTGCGCCATAATTCATCACTCAACTATTGCAACCAGATATTTCCCAACACCACCTAGAAGTAACAAACACACACACACACACACACACTTCTCACCGTCTCTTTTGTGTGATAGCGAAAACAAGACATCACGCTCCTGTCATGCACACTGTCTGCCCAGAAATTTGGCGGCAAGTTTTCTGTTCATACGCACACTCGCTCTGAAATAGCCAGGGTCTCTGTTTCCCACTGAGCTTAATTATAGCACAAGGTGCCCTTGCCTTGCTCTGGGGCAGAGAGAGCTGACACAGACACTGAAACTAGGAGTGACACCAACCCAGAACAGAGTTTTCGAGCCCAGAAGTGAGCACTGAATAAGCTCAGGCTAAAACTTTTCACTAAATTTCTCAGTTTAATATAAATGGGCCATAAAGTGAATCTAAAATGTTTAGACTTTTGTTATTACTCTGCATATACTACCACTTAAAAAGTTTGGGTTCAGTAAGATTTTTATGTTTTTGAAAGAAGTCTCTTATGCTCACCAAGGCTGCATTTATTTGATCAAAAATACAGTAAAACCAGTAAAATATTATTACAATTTACAAGAACTGTTTTCTATTTTAATATACTTTAAAATGTAATTTATTCCTGTGATGGAAAAGCTGAATTTTTAGCAGCCATTACGCCAGTCTTCAGTGTCACGTGATCCTTCAGAAGTCATTCTAATCATTTCTGCACAATAATAATAATTAAAAAAAAAATCTTATCATTATCAACACTGAAAACAGCTGTGCTGCATTATATTTTAGAGGTTACTATTTTTTTAAATTAATAGAAAGTTCAAAAGAACAGCATTAATTTGAAAAATGACTTTTGTAATATTGTAAATGTAATTACTGTCACTTTTTATCAATTCAATCATTGCTGAATAAAAGTTCCTTTCAAGAAAAAAAAAAAAAAAAGGATCCCAAACTTTTAAATGGTAGTGTAAATCTGATTTGTTTTTCAAATATGAACTTTAGGACTGACCGTTTGCTCTGTAGCTATGTAAAATCTGATTAGTACACCCAAATATGAAGATTCATTTACTCGCCTTGGTGTCTTTGCAAACCTGTATTTTTCTTCTTCTGTGGAACACAAAAGAAGATATTCTCAAGAATTTTTATTTTTTTTTGGTCTGTGGGGTTCAGTGTTGTTTTGGACCCCACTGACTTTCACTGTATGGACAAAAACAGTTAAAACATTCTTTAAAATATCTTCTTTTGTGTTTTGGAGAAGAAACTAAGTCATACCGTTTTGGAACGACACAAAAGTGAGTAAATAATTATTCATTTTTAATTATTTAATACATCATTTTCATTTTTGGGTGAACAATCCCTTTCGAATCAGCCCAATGTGAAAACACATAAGAGAGCAGATGTCATTGTAGAAAGATGACAACCTGAACGTACTGAACAAATTTATTTGGATTTTAAACTACACACACACAGTATTATATTATTTTTGCTATTCAGACTACAAACAACTATAATATTTTTGCAGCCTGTCTGAACAAAACCTTAGAAATCTTTGCTGAAAAGCTGCAGTGTGTGTTGTTCCATACAAATGCTGATAGTTGAGTCTTACCTTTCATTTCCTCATCCTCCACTGTGGCATTACTGCTGTCCGACGACTCCTGTGATATTCAGACACAGAACACCAATTAGTCAAGACAATATATTGAAATTTTTCAGAAAGAATACCAACAAGGGCCAAAGTCCTCACTTTGGAATCACACGCACAATTAACCATTCAATGATGCATGTCCATGTCAGCACGACTGTTAGAAGAGGCTTGTTATGTTTGTTATAATCCCACTCACATACATAATGATATTAAACACAGGCCACACCTCCACCAGGAATGAACATTATGAACTCAATACTCTTTCCTTCACAATATCCAATATCCAATAAATTCACAATATCCTGTGCTGAAATCTGAGAGACGGGCTGCACTAATTACAAGAGTACTACAAACGCTTGTGTAAGGAACAGACAGTAATATAAAACAACACACTCTTGGCCTCCTGCAGTCTTCTTTGGTGCATACTGGATGCACATTTATTTTGCATCATGTGAATTCAAGTTCATATTGTTGGATGCGATTTGATGGGTCTTACTAAGCACACTAAAAACAAAGCGTGGAGTTGTAAATTGAGGTTATGTCCAATCGTACTATAGATGTATAGATATTTTGGCATTAGAAGCCAATCAAATTCTAATCCTAATCTTCAAAAAACTTTATAACACAAACAAAATACATTAAGGAAAAAGTGAAAGTAAACAGACATTACGTACTAACTTGCAGTGAGGATAAACCAGTGTTGTTACTGTTAAATAATTTTTTTTTAACTTAAACTATTATTTTTACTTAAAATAATTTTTGGTAATTGAATAACGTGGAAATAAAATATAAAACGTATACAAAAATCTGAAATTTTGTCATGGCAGCTAACTGAAATAAATAGGTTTAAATTGAAATACTGAATTACTAATCACTAAAATACAAATAACCTAAAGCTATATAAAAATATATCTATGTAGAGCTTTTTTTTATTTTTTTTTTTACAAATTTTTCTTTCAGTTTTATTTTTAGTAATTTCAGTAGATCAAGTTGCACTAATTGAAGTTTAAAGGTTTAAAAAGTTCATTTTATTTCAAGCAACAATTTTTTTTATGGTTTTGGTTTACTATAATAACCCTTATTGTAAAATAAATAAAAATTTTAAAAAATTAAAAAATAATAATTTACTATGTTCACCTGCATGATAAATAATTTTGGTGCTGTGTTGGGTCACCACTTGATGTCTAATTTATAGCAGAGTCCTGACGCAAAACCACTGTTGGATTGCAATAAAATTCTTACTAAAATAATGTTTTAAAAAATATTTCCTATTTTAAAATGAGCCCAGCTATATTGAGAAAAGAGTCAAAGCTGAAGGGTTTGCAACAACACCTTGTAGCGGTAAGTATTTACACAGCACTTCCTCTTGTACCTTATTGCTCAATTGAATTAATCGACAGAATGAAGTCTCAATAGGAAATGAGGAGGAGGAGGAGGGCATGGTCACCTGAGAAACGGGACCGTGCACCTGTCACAGCGTAACCGTAGTGATCACCAAGGACACCAGCTCCTGCTGTAAATAGGCCATCAGTATGTGGGCCGATATTATTAGGTGCTCCTGAAAAGGCTTTTGTTCTCTCATTCCATCATCTATGCTGTGCTAGAGACCTTGTTACACCTGTACAAAGACAGTGGCAAACGTGGCGAAATGGACAGCTTCCCACGCAAGGGTCTAATAGCTCATTTTCTAGGGGGAAATTAAGACCAATTCAGAATTCACACAGAACAGCAACCACTGGCAGAAAAACCGGGCCCAGATCTAGACTTCACTACTGCCACCTGGGAGAATCAAAGAGATTTTTAGTAATATTACAGGCCTACTTTTATTTTCCACGGATGCATTAAATTAATCAAAAATGACCGCACAGGCATTACAAAAAATTATATTTCAAATAAATATTTACATTTAAATTAATTCCATTTCATTTCTATTTATGTTTTATTTTAAAAAGATGAAGAATTTAATTTCTCTTCCACTAGAAGTACAAAATGCTATTTAAAAAATAATGACTGTCAAAAATATTTTTTTCATGTCAAGGGAGATTGTTTCGCAAGTTGCACGTTCAATGAGCACCACAAGAGGTCTCTACACCACACAGTCGGAAACAGAGAGACCTGAGACAGCAGGTTTAATATTCTCATGACACAGATTTCCAAATGTTGCTCTTCGGCCTCATACGGCAAACATCTGATGTGTCAAGAGTCATTTCCCATCATCACAATCATTAATAAACATCACTATTAAACAGACGGTCGATTAATAGTGAAACAATCACACTAGCACATATGAAAAGGAGCGGCAAACAAACGACTCAACCCTTCAACACGACATGCGTTTCATTAGAGGAATACGTTTACTCATTTGCATATTATGTTTAGTTAAAAGATGCAATTTCTTAATAGTAATGAGTTATTCAACCGGATCTAAAGAGTACTAGCGCGAATACACATTAAACTTCAAAAGGGTCACGCAGCAGCCAACAGGCACACACGCTCAGATGATGTCATACACTCTTAAAAATAAAGGTGCTTCACGATGCCATAGAAGAACCTTTTTGTCTAAATGGTTCCATAAAGAACCTTTAACATCTGAAGAACCTTTCGGTTTCACAAAAGGTTCTTTGTGGCGAAAGATGGTTCTTCAGATTACAAAAACGCAAGAAAGAGATGGTTCGTTAAAGAACCTTTGACTGAATGGTTCTTTGTGGAACCAAAAATGGTTCTTCTATGGCATCGCTTGAAGAACCGTTTGAAGCACCTTTATTTTTAAGAGTGTAGTCTGTAGTCACATTAGCAGAAATGCATTGTGGGGATGCAGATCAAACAGAGGACGGATGGTGGGCAGGAAAGAAAAAGAGTGGTGGTGGTGCTGGTGGTGGGTTACCTTAATCCCATCCACTGCATTATGGATGACAGTGGTCTGTGTCTCCTACAGAGCGACAGGGGAGGAGGGGGTGGAAAAACATGAGGAGAAAAAAGAAGAGAGAGAGCGTGTGTGGGTGGATGGGTGTTTGTGATTGCCAAACCAGTAAAAATGAACAAACAAAACGTGCACAAAAACCACCAGAGAGCTTCATAAAACAAATTACTGCACGTTAGGCTCCAATATTTCAAAACCACCAACTACGAACGGACAAAATCAGCATCGTATCGCTGAAAGTGAAATAGCGTGATTTTGACAGAACGACTGCGAATGCTATCGCAGCCGCTATACTAACATGTTTATTTTAATCCGTCTCCTTTGTGTACGTGTCAACCCCGGAAACCTGCTAGCTAGACACACATCAGACCGCATAAATTTGTAATGCCCACTTCTCTCTCGCAGGAAGTAACATTCCCTTACTGTCCAATCAGCAGCCTGTGGTCCCCATCATTATGAGGTATTCATCGCCATGACAACTGTTGCCCCGTGCAACAGGCAGCAGTTGCATGCTAAAGTTACTATGGACACAGAGGCTGCGTCCAAAAGCTCTAAAATGTGCCTTCGGAGGGAGCATTCCAAGGCAGGAAGGCATCAAGGCACGTCCGAATACAAATTCTGCTTCACTTCCTGTCTCTGGAGGTACCTTCTTCTAAACTAATTTTGAAGGCAGCATAGATGTATCCTTCGCTGCCTTTGATATCCCACAATTCCGTGACGGTTGAGATAAAAAAATAAAGATGGCGCCTGAAAGTTGCGTTTGGTGGTCAGTTTGTTTAAATGTATGTTTCTGATTCACTTCTTGCACTTTTGATGTTATTTCTAGCGAGAAATCAGTATTATAATAATTAAATATTCATTTAGTTATCATCAAAACTCGTTCTATTTTGTTGTAGATCATTAAACCGTTTCGCTGCCTCAGAAGCCTGTCCGAAATCAGTTTCATGAGGTGCCTTTGTGCAAAAACGCTGCCTGCAAAATCATTGCCTCATAAGGCAGCAAGCCAGCTGCCTAGGTTTTCAGACGCAGCCAGAGTCTATAAGAAGCTGCGAATGCTAACAATTAATTTCCTTTTTAAAGGGATAGTTTAGCCAAAAATGAAAATTGCATCATCATTTATTCACGCTCAAGTTGTTCCAAACCTGTATGAATTTCTTTCTTCTGTTGAACACAAGAGAAGATATTTCGAAGATTGCTGGTAACCAAACAGTTGACAGTAACCACTGACTTGAAAAAAATACTACCGAAGTCAATGGCTACCGTCAACTGAAAATAACTTCTCGTGTTCAACAGAAGAAATAAATTCATACATGTTTAGAACAACTTGAGGGTGAATAAATGACATAATTTTCATTTTTGGATGAACTATACCTTTAAGAAATTTTAGTTGATTAGTCTTACTGATAAAATTGTTATTGTCACATAGCTACATATAAAAATATATTTATATTGCTTATGACGTTTTTTTTTTTTTGCATTATGACATTAATGGTGTCTGATTAAAACTGTTAGTGTTGGTACAGTTCAAATTCTTTTATCTTCAAACTCAATACTTCTGTCATCATTAAATATCAGTATCTGTCATTATTAAATGATTATTTTTCCAAATATTAAAAAATGTCAGTAAAATATTCAAAAATACAGAAAATATATGCGAGTATATAATGTGTTGTATATTACCATGCATTGTTATACTGGCACCTGGCACATAAATTAGTTAGAATAGATTAGTTAGTGAAAAACAGTCTAATTTTTTCTTTTTTATAAGATTTAATTATTTTTAATGTTTATGAAAACAATCTTTATGTTTTTTTAGTTCTTACATATAACAGTTTAAATATCCTTGGCTGCTTGATTAAAGTACTGGTTATTGTGAAAAAAATAAAAAGGCAAAGCAAATTTTAAATACAAAAACATAAATATGGAGATATATCAAAAGGGTACAAAATAAAAATATCATCCAGTCCTACACAACTGTACAGTTAACAGTAAAGCTGGAAGGGAAGCCATGAAACAAAGCACTAAGGCTAAAGTCTTTTCTGACCATAAACACCTCCTCACTTCACTTCAAGGTTGAGTAACTATATCTGCACCATAAAACGCACACACACGAGCAGCACACAAACTCCACAGTGGCAGCATTAAAGGGCAACTATGAGAGACCCTAAAATATTCTGATGCCACGTGTTGCAATAACTGTATATGTTGGAATGCATGTCATGTTTCCATTAGGAGCTTCCTTCCTTAATGCTCAGGGTTCACTCTAAAACCTCTTCACGGAGCTTTTACAGACCACAGAAATCTACAAAAATCCCCTCAGAACATAGACGATCCATCTATATCCCTCAAGCATGTCATTAAACATTAAATAATCACATCACCCATGTACCCACCATGCTGGCATAATGACATTTATTAAATTCCCTGCCAACTCCAAGCAATAAACAACCTTCATTACCTACCGATCAAAGCAGAAACTGAAAGTCAAACTGGCATGCAATCAAAAAAACAACCCCATAAATGTGTGACTAGAGTGTATAGTAATATATCAGAATGACATAGAGTGCAACTGAATAAACAGAGCTTAACTGGGTCCATGGACAGATCCAAAAAGCATAGGGGTAAATTCAAAAAACAGTTGTGCCACTTCAAGGCTGGGTCATTTAAAAATGTTCATAAAGCACTTACAATACCGTTTAACTAGATGGCACTTGCTCTGGAATAGTGCTGCACCTTTAAATTAAAAAATATTTTTCTTTTCAGCGCAAACAAACCTCCTTTCACTTGATGCAATTAGCATTGCATAATGCGTATAAAAGTGTTTAATATAAGGGAAGCTTGCAAATAAAATAAATTATTTATTCATAACGTATGTAATCAGCAGGCGCAATTCCTAGTGAATTCACAGATCTCTCAAATATAAAATAAATAGTACATATATACACATATTTGTCAGTAAGATTTTTGAAATAAATTGATTGTATTAATCAAAAATGACAATAAAGACATTTGGAATGTTCTATTACAAATAAATGCTGATCTTCAAACTTCCTGAGATGCACACGCACACATAACACATGTGGAATGGCAACAGCACTGCTCAGAACTGTAAACATTCAACTCAACTGACAACTACAGTATACTAGACCCAGTGGATTTAAGTGAGGAACACCATTAAGGATCTCAGTGAACCAAACAGCCTCTTCTCACCACTGCAGCCAGGAAACCGTAAGAATAGTTTAAGGGCTGATTCTAAGAGGATTCTAAGAGCCCTAGCAGGAGTTCCTATCCCCAAACCAATCCAGATCATAATGATGATGCTGACACTGCTCACTCACTGACCACAGTTCAAATACAGAAATATAATAGCCCCAAAAGTATTTCATCATTTTAGACACCCTTAAAAATGCAAGAATGCCAGTGCATTAGATAACTAATCATCAAACCAGGTGGCATGTGTTTCAGAAAAGTTATCAAAAGCACAATTTGCCAAGCATTTCACAAAAAAAAACCAAACAAAAAAAAACTTTTGCTAGGTTTCAAATTGATATATTGTTTAAAATTATTGCATATGGACACTTTGTGGTTCTCAAAGCAAAGTGGAACATGTTCATCATTAATATGATGAACTACGCCTGTGGTTCTCTGCTAAGACACATTTAAGAAATTGAAAACTTCTTACAGCCACTAAAAATCACCCTGAGACCAGTTGGTTAAAAGTAATAGCAAAAATGGTAGCATGAAAGTTAGTTCTTAAAGGGATAGTTCACCCAAAAATGGAAATTCTGTCATTAATTACTCACCCTCATGTTGTTCTAAACCCATAAGACCTTCATTCTTCTTCGGAACAGCTTTCTGACCCTCCATAGACAGCAAGGTAACTACCATCTTTAAGGCTCAGAAATGTATATAGAACATCGACAAAATAGTCCATGTGACATCAGTGGTTCAACCGTAAGTTTATGAAGCTATGATAATACTTTTTGTGCGCAAAACAAGAATAACAACTTTATTCAACAATTCTTTCCCCCTGAGTTGCCATCTACCACCATTATCGAGAGTAACACGACGCATGAGCGTGTTTTCCTCTGCTCGTAAACAAGGCGCAGCGCATGCGTGTTCTACGTCAGCAGCATCATGCGCATGCGCCATGTTACTCTCAATAATGGCGGTAGATGGTAACTTGGGGAAGAAGAATTGTTGAAAAAAGTTGTTATTTTTGTGCACAAAAAGTATTATCATAGCTTTGTAAAATTACGGTTGAACCACTGATGTCACATGGGCATTTTATTGAAGTCCTTACTACCGTTCTGGGCCTTGAACGTGTCAGCTGCTTTGCTGTTTATGCTTACCCTCACTTAATTTGTGTTCTGAAGATGAACGAACGAAGGCCTTACGGGTTTGGAATGACATGAGGGTGAGTAATTAATGACAGAATTTTCATTTTTGGGTGAACTATCCCTTTAAGGATGTTAAACTACTGTCCGCTATCAGTAGGCTGTTTTACAGAGGATTTCCTGAGGACTGGGAGTTACCTTTTCAACACATGTGTAGAAGACTGAGACTTCTTTAGAACAGACTGTGTTGTTGAAGTCATTCTGTTTCCAGCAAGCCATCAGCAATGACATTTCCGTTACACAGGTGGCCTCTGTAACAAAGAGTGTGTGTATCACCATGTAAGAGTTCAGCAAAAATAATGCATTACAACAGCCCTTCGAAGTTGCCTTAAAAAGCAAACCAGCATCATTTGTATAAAATTGTTACTCACCCTCATGTCGTTCCAAACCCGTAAGATCTTCGTTCATCTTCTGAACACAAATTAAGATGTTTTTTATGAAATCCGAGAGCTCTATGACCCTCCGTAGACAGCAAGGTAACTACCACGTTCAAGGCACAGAAACGTAGTAAGAACATCGACAAAATAGTCCATGTGACATCAGTGGTTCAACCGTAAGTTTATGAAGCTATGATAATACTTTTTGTGCGCAAAACAAGAATAACAACTTTATTCAACAATTCTTCCCCCCTGAGTTGCCATCTACCACCATTATCGAGAGTAACACGACGCATGAGCGTGTTTTCCTCTGCTCGTAAACAAGGCGCAGCGCATGCGTGTTCTACGTCAGCAGCATCATGCGCATGCGCCATGTTACTCTCAATAATGGCGGTAGATGGTAACTTGGGGAAGAAGAATTGTTGAAAAAAGTTGTTATTTTTGTGCACAAAAAGTATTATCATAGCTTTGTAAAATTACGGTTGAACCACTGATGTCACATGGGCAATTTTAACGATGTTCTTACTACGTTTCTGTGCCTTGAACGTGGTAGTACCCTTGCTGTCTATGGGGGGTCAGAGAGCTCTCAGATTTCATCAAAAATATCTTAATGTGTGTTCCGAAGATGAACAAAGATCTTACGGGTTTGGAATGACATAAGGGCGAGTAATTAATGACAGAATTTAAATTTTTGGGTGAACTATCCCTTTAATATCAAATGCCACTGGTTTGATATCCAACTCATTTAAATTTATACAATTTAAGGGCAGCTTCAGTACACACATATATTTAGAGGCCACTGTATGCACTGTTTATACTATACATACATTTTATTTTCTGCTCTAAACACCGTATCTTTGCATTTAACATTTGCATTATAAAATACATAGTGTTTATATTATTTAATTTTATTACTAGCTTTAAATTGCAAATTTTTTTTAAATATAGGCTTGCACTCAGATGCAATGAAAAAGTTGGTAAAACAGCACACAAGAAAACAAACAAACAAACAAAAAATCCTTATTGTACTAAAGATTGCAAGTGCAGTCACAAACAGAGGGGGGAAAAAAGGATGGATTGGAAGAAAAGAAAAGGACTAGAGAGGTAAATACCAGTGCAGGAGAGGGGAGGTTTCCCTTGGGACTGGTGACTATGCTGTTTTTGGTGCTGTTTGTCTGGGGCTGTGCAGGGAAACACAACATACATTCGGATTAAGAAAGTGTCAAGTTAAGAAGGAACGAGGGAGAGTTCGGCATGCACATGTACACAAGCACACTCACACAAACACATGCAGTAGGGTACCGTCATTATCTGTTTTAAAGTAACTGACTGATGTAGTGCCAACTACCTATTTACATGAAAACAGTGTTATTCATTGAGACACAATGTTCTCTAGCAGTCAAAGAAAAGGGAGGGTCATTATTAAAGTCTATAAAATGCTTTTCGCCAATTTGGCTTCCTAAACTAATCCATTATACCAATTAGCCACATTACATGCAGAGGCGGATTAGCTATGAGTGTTTATTTGTACTCGGGGGTCCCTCAGGACTCATGTTTATGAGCTTGCAGTGGTATCTAATGGTCCATTTTCCCTTGTACAGCTCAGGCACTCACGCGAATGTTGTTATTATGTGTCTATGCGCGGGAGGCATGGTCAAGGGAGATGAATGAACAGCAGCCCACGACTACTGGATCCTCACAAGCATGAAACAAATTCACATACATGAGCAAAAACACATCATAACATGACTTTGGCAGTATGGGCACACATATCCATTCAAATACACACTGTTCCTAGTAACTGGACCACTTGATGGCTTACAGAATTCATTAACAATTCCCAAAGACTTATCACAGATGGTCATGCATCTCCATGGAAGTCCAACTTTATCCAAGTAAACAGGGATATTGTTGGGAAGGACAACCAGCAATGCTATCCTCTTATGGGAGCCATAAGAAAAAATTCCTGAGCACTGAGAATATAAGCATCAATCCTGCAAATAAATGTAAGTTGAAGGAAACAAGCAGATTTGGTGCAGTCAGAACCCTGGGTTGTGCAGAAATAGGATCTTCAGATCTTATGGAAATATTGGGAAAAACACAGGGTCTTACTCTACATGACTATTCCATTGTCTACCTGTGTATGAACAGAAAGGCCTCTCCTAAACCTGCTTTAGAAAGCTTCCAGAGTGGTCAGTATAACCAAAATACATCCAATTACCCACATGCAGAATGAGATCCAAGAGGTTTGTGGTGTCAAAGGAAGCCGGTCAAAATTATTCAAACAAAGGAAAGAACAGCAAGGAGGAGGAACCCAGTGTTTGTCAGAAAATACTCAAGAAAGCAGGACATTTTTACTGGGACCAAGTGGTCTCACAAAGCCAGATCTGAACTCTAAAAAGTCTAGTCCACAGTGTGTTCTGGCCAAGAACTGTGCACTTAGACATTCAGATACTGATTGCAACCATTCTGTTCATTTAGTTTTTATGTGCCACTCTGGGATGGGTTTATCTGAAATTGATCATATAAAATAAGACTAGACGTGTGCCCTTAAGGCCTGTTCACACCAAAGATGATAACGAGAACTATTAAAAGCCCCGATATACATCAAGCAAAATCAAAGAATAAACCAAAATAAGCCAAAATAAAGTTAGTTTGGGGAGTTCAAAACAGCTTTCCAAAGCGAACTTTCCAGAACAGCTCCATACAATAGTTCCAAAAGTTCCAAAGCTGTTGTTTACCATTGGTCAGAGGCAGGCTCCATCTTCTTTTACCCCTCAGCAAAAAACGAAAAGTGTATCAGGGGCTTAACTATATCGTTTTAGTACTTGTTCTAATTCTACAAGCGTTCTCTACCGCAGGTGTGGACACGAACATAGTTTTTGTTATAATTCTTCGAATAGCTATCCGATCGTGAAAAGACCAGGTGTAAATGCCCTCCGAAACGCATTTGAGACGGATATAAATCCGATCGCTCAAACCAGTTCAGGAGGTGGTCTGTGCCGCATTCCAGACGAAACTGGACCAGTGTAAATGCATCTGGTTGTTGAAACCACATATGCAAATTTTACTCCTCCCAAAATGTTAAAATAATAAACGTGTGAGAGCGTGTTATAGGCTATATGACATTATAGTCACGTATGACTGCGCTAATGGCGATGCGTGTTGCATTAGCGCAGTCATATGTGACTATAATCTCATATAGCCTATAACACGCTCTCACACGTTTATTATTTTAACATTTTGGGAGGAGTAAAATTTACATATGTGGTTTCAAAAACCAGATGCATTTACACTGGTCCAGTTTCGTCTGGAATGCGGCCCAGACCACATCCTGAAGTGGTTTGTGCGATTGGATTTATATCTGTCTCGAATGTGTTTCGGAGAGCATTTACACTTGGTCTTTTCACAATCGGATAGCTATCCGATCAGACAAAACACATGAAGCGACCAGGTGTAAACAGCCCCTGAGACTAATGCTGTGTTCAAGTCCACCTGGGACGTTCGTACTTACGAGTTGACAAGTCGTAATTACGACGTCAGGTGCGTTCAAGTCAGTTTAGTCGGCACAAGATGGCGGTGTACCTTCTTTTAATAAATTACAAGAAAATACAACAGGGTCTGCATTTTTTAACTTAGATTTCATTAACTAGCTGCGTAACAAGAACATGACCAATTTAAGTTTATAGGACAACTAAACTATCAATTTAAACAAAAATTTACCGTCAACTACAGACGTTGCATCCATCGATTCCGCCATGTTTCTCATTGACACGCCCCCAACTCGGAAATTCGGGGCTTAAAGAAAATTTTGAGTTTCCCCACTCGTAATAACGACTTTGTGGTGGCGTTCATGTGCGTTCAACTCGTAAATACGATATATCCGACATGACTTGAACGCACCATAAGATCCAAGATTAGTTGACCAGTAAAAAACATGCAATTTTTTAATGCATTTATTTATTTTATTTTTTAAAATAGAACCAGTCTGAGTATGTTTTATACTGGCCATCATTTCATTATGTCCCACAGAAATGCAGGAAGTAAGACTTTAGAGGAAAGTGTTGCACATTAGCAACAGTACAGTAGGTGGAGGTACAAGAAGAGGAAGATGAAAGAAAATAGAAGGGTGTAAATGAAACAAGATTCTCACCATGTACTGAATGGTAGAGCTCGACTTTCGCTTCTACAGAGAGAATGAAAAGGAGAGAAGTGAGAAAAATGGTGGAAACTGAGACGATATTTAAAAAAGTAGCTGTTGACTTGTTTGATGTTCATTTGGGGTGAAGAGAAAAGTGCTGGGACGAGATCTCAAATGCTGTCAGAGCTGTGTGTATTTTAGTCAAAGAAAACGATTTGAAAAATAATTTTGGAGTGCATGTGAAGGTCTGGGTTCAGAGCAAGACAATATGTAGACTTGAAGGTTCTTCTGTACAAGAGGAAATTTGGAGGAAGAGGAACAAGGAAGGGTAGTGGGTCAAGTGAAGGAAAAAGGAGAGAGAAACATGCCACTAGCAGAAGAATAGTTGAAGTGCACCTGAGGAATGATCAGTTGTAAGCAAAGTTACCTGATCCGGGGTCAGTTGTTTGTGACATATGACAGTTACCGTTCAGAGACAATTTGGCCCTGAACCTGGAGCAGGGAAAACAACGTAGGAGCTACACAAAGTAGGAATGATGTGCAAGGACAGGCAGGGTTGCTGAGACAGGAAGCAAGCACAGTCTGTGTGGTTCAGTGATATTTTTTGTCCTAAAAAAAGGGCAGCCAAGAACGAGTTATATTAAGCACAGAATGTTCTCAGAAGTGCTTTGGTTGAAAACGCAGCAGCGCAACTTCCAATCGGTGCAACTGCCATATTAAAAAATAAATAAAAACGCCTCCAAAGCAGAATTACATAACCAGCGGTAGTGCAAAGATTTAGACACAAAGTGAGGAAGTCAGCTTCAGTTAATTTGAAAAATGGTGACAGAGACTAAATAAAGATCAGCTCAGCTTGAACTCCGAAGACGGCGACAGAGCATAAAGGTGAAGGAAGGAGAGAGAGAAAACAAAGTAATCGTGAAAAGGACAGAAGAAATATTTTAAAATGGCTGGAGAGGACGTGGGGGAGCCTGTTGCTAGGTGATGAGAGGAGCGCTGTGCTGCTATTTTCGTCTCAGAGTTTCCAGGGTTTCAGACTCACGGCTATTCTTGGAACCAGAGTCGCATTTCCCACTGAACTATTTCTCCGCTCAAACACACACACACACACGTACATACATACACATGGAGATAACAGGTGTGAGTCACATAGGTGGCTAGTGGGGTGACGACAAAGTAGAAACAGGTAGAAATGTGTTTTGAGTGTGTGTCTGCGAACACTCCCCTAAGTGTTAAGTGCAGTTCATCTCTGAAAATCCTGTTTCATGAATCAAATTACTCTGGCTCTTGTGGAAGATTCCATAGATTCCTCAATGGCATCACAGCCGTCGTCGTTATATCATATTCTTAAAATGTCTCCCACACGCCTAAAGGCGCTGACGGAAATAAAACTTTCATTTCGTCTCATCTTTCAGTGGTATCGCTGGCTCCATGATAGAGCTTGTTACAGTGTTTGGTAACATCTTATATTTCCACACTCTTATGTCAGCTAGAGAGCCTAGCAAATTCACTGAAATACTCAACACGAGGTTCATTGTATAATCCGCACTCGATTTTTACTTAATGTGTGGAAATCTGTGGGATGGATTTAAATATGGGGAAGTGTGTTAAAGGTAGGTTTTATTTGGTAGCTAAATAACCATGTATTTCCATGCTCATATGACTGCTAGACAGTCCGTAAAAATTCACTAAAATACTCATCGCGGTGTTTATACTTTTATATTTCTATGTGAATGTGTGGAATCTTGGGCATTGGATTTAAACATGGTCTTATTGGTAGATAATAGGGCTGTCAAACGATTAATCGCATCCAAAATAAAAGTTTGTGTTTACATGATACACACACACGCAAGTATATATTTAGGAAAAATGTTATATTTATGTATAAAATATTTGTATTTATATATAATCTAAATTATATCTAAATATATACAGTATATCTAAATATATATACACACTACCGGTCACAAGTTTGGGATCAGAACGATTTGAAAAATTTTTTAAAGGAGTTTCTTATGCTCATCAAGGCTGTATTTATTTGATCAAAAATACAGGAAAAAATGTAATATTGTGAAATATTATTATGATGTAAAATAAAGTTTTTCTATTTTAATATACATTAAAATCTATTTTTTTCCTGTAATGCAAAGCTGAATTTTCAGCATCATTACTGCAGTCTTCATGATCCTTCAGAAATCATTCTAATATGCTGATTTATTATCAGTGCTGGAAACTGTTGTGCTGCTTTATTTTTTTTTGGAACCTTTGATGAAGGTTGATGAACCTTTGATTTTTCAGGATTCTTTGATGAATAAAAAGTTAAAAAGAAGAGCATTTATTTAAAATAGAAATCTTTTCTAACAAT